ACTTTTCTTTTACTTTCATTTTCAGTCTCCACTTTTGTTGGTGTTGCCTGTCTTGTGGGTTTACCCAATATATCCTTCTCCTTTGCAGCTAGAAATTAAGAAGAAAGTCTCCCATATTATCAACTACTTCAGAGCACGACTTAGATAACCTACCCTTTTCGTCAACTTTATTCTTCACGTCGATGTCCGCGATGAGCGGCATAATGTCATCCAAAACCTCAGAAGAGACTAGCTCGGTAATTTTGTCATACTGAGCAAGTGGAAAAGGAACATCTGACTCCTATAAACTGTCCAGATAATAAGAAGCTTAAAAAGAAGCGAGATACAGGTTAATAACAAATATAAATTCTAGGTAATAGGAAAGTTTTTTTCCAAACCATTCCTTCAAATCCAGGTACAAACCTCAATAGTGAAACCATCCATGTAATGCACTAACGGTTTTCCACAACCACCACCCCTTGCTCGAAATGCCAGTGCTTCTCTAACAAATATCGATTCTAAGGATTTGGCTGCATCTGAGACTGGAGGAGGTGATGGATCATCTACTGAGTCTCCTGCAACAATTACAAATCAAAATGAAACAAATTATAGAATGCTAAATTTAAAGTCAGAGATGTTACCAACCCCTATCCAACGCTGGAGGTGCATCGCCTGCCATGTCTGGGCTTTCAGTACCACAAGAAGCACTGTCAGCTCTACCCTTTTCGTCCATACCGAGTGCTAAGTACTCCCCCACGCTCATTTCTCCTGATCCGCTTTCCGGACGACGTTTTTTACAGCGGCTTGTTATTGCTTTCTAAAGAAAAAATCCTATCAGTAAGTCGCGAGTATTGTAATGAGACTTTGATCTGCTCTGATCAAGGAGGGATAAGCTCCAACACCGTTTTCTAAAACATGACACGTAGATAGCTTCAATTACGCATAACATTTTGAATGACCCCAAACTGTCACCTTTTCATATTTCATTCACTTGCATTCACATAGCACAGTATAAAATACACAAGACCAGAGGTTTCGTACACAAAATTGAAGTATTGTTTTAAAAAAAGAGATGAGCATAGATAGTCGTCTTTCCTCAGCACCTTTTACATCTTGACGAAAGCCGAGTCACTGTTCTCAGACGACTAGCCTTCTATGCCGCATGAGAAAGATGTTATTACTGAGTGCACCTGTGTCAATAAGGCTCATCAAAAATGCTCAAGTATTGAAAAATCGACTTCATTTTAGGTTCCAAATAGTCAACAATCATAAAGAAAGCTTACTTCCGCGTGTGATTATGAGATAAGGACATGTTAAGAGATAAAGGAGTTTTATGCAAACCAAAAGAAGCGCTGAAGAACTCACTGTATGCTGTTGCACTTGTTGTTGATGTTGCTGCTGTTGTTGTCTTTGTACACTCTGCATACTTTGCATACCTTGAATTCCCTGGGCAATTCCGACTGGTACGAGATTTTGTGGTATCATGCCGGCTGAAGTCAAGATATCATATCAAACCAAATCTACTAGAGTTCGTGAAGCTTATTGCGAAAGAATCAGATCTTCCAACTGTTCCCTAACAGATGCAAGAACGTTAGAAAAAAACCAACCAAAAATAGTTGTTTTTTTTTTTAAATTTAAATCCCTAGAAGGAGATTCCAGTGGCGAATACTCTACATGCATATACTCCGTGCTCCACCAAAAAAAAACCAGCACCATGCAATTAGCAAGTCACGAGCGTACTTTCTACTAGGAAAATTGATTTTTGCCAGCAGAGCTTTATCTGCGTCACAACGGTTTTGTGGAAGCAACAAAGATCAATGTTTCTTCACCTCCTGACTATTGATTCCACGCTTAAAATAATTCCTTACCAAATGCGAGAAGTCTGAACATTGATCACACTGGAGCAGGTTAATGTTAACTGACCTCATCAGATCACTTATGTGTGGGGTTGATGACTCATTAATGTTTAAAAAGAAAGTGCAACTTATTGGACGACTTACGGTGCATTGCGGACGTATTCAAAACCATTGGTCCATTCGGCCCTTGTACGACCATTAGAGCAGCGTTCCCTGGTCGCAGTGCATTCTAAAGCGACGCGAAAATTGGTGACAAATAAATCGAGATCAAATCGCCAAAAACTTTGAAACTGCTTACAACCATTGCGGCTTGTTGGGACGACACGGTGTGCGTACCATCGCCAGGATCTAAAATTCACTTTCAGTAGTAAGTCACAAGTAGTGTTTTGAGCTTTTACTTTAACACTAGATTTGTGGAAGATATCAAAAGTTAAGGGAAAACAAAAGAAAGACCTAAGTTGAATTAATTGACCAGATGAAGGGGCGAACTCTGTATGTTTTCAAGGTGATCTTCAAGCAACTTCGAAAATAAAAAACAGAGTTTCTTTTTATCTATACGAGTACGATCAAGTGTTGCCTACTCGCTTTAACATCCAACAATTCAAAAAGCCTATGCTTAAAACCTCCATTACAAAAAAAAAGTGACGAAGGCAGTTGCGGGTCGTGCAACGTTACTGTTGCGTTATGTTGTGTTACGTTACGTGCACACACACAATTGTCTTTGTCACCTTTTCTGTGATGGAGGTTACTGAAAACCGGTTTACTGAAGATTAAATGCGACTTACGCATAAATCTGATATTCTGTCCAATGCGTGCATTTGTCGGAAGAAACTGTGGCATCAGCTGGATCGAGTCTATACACATGAAATCAATATTAAAAATGCACAGCAAAAACTTGGTCACATTTGGTGAACGATCGCAGCTTGAGTATGAATAATCAGTAAAGAATTGTTTTTTTTTTCATCTGACTGTCACAGAGTGTATCCGCTTTCAGAACTTGGACGGGCAGGTGCCTTCGGCAAGATCTATATCTTTCACATTACGTCAAAATTAACGTGAAGAAGTGTCCCAAAAATAGTTGCCTCTCTTTGC